CCCCCCCCCCCCCCCCCTACTTGGTGATGCGACAAACGATCTTCAAGTCCTGTATTTCATGAAAAAACAATCAACCAACACAAAATTACCCAGAAACGTCCTCAACAAAACTACAGTAGCCACCACGTATCAGCAAAACGCATTTGCCTATACGTCAACACGCGAGAATTTATCCCCAGAAGAACGCTACAACAACATCAGAAAGCGTCGGAAGGACGACGGACATTTCTGAAAAACAGAACCAAAGAGTTGACGCAACATCCTCGAACAAAACGAAGTTTGGACTTCTTGGCCAATATAAACGAGCATCCGGAAAGCTGACCTCCACCATTCGAGTCCCGACAGAGTGGGCTTTTTCTCGCTAATGAAATCCTTGTCTCCGTTGGAAGCGACGCGCTGCAAAGCTCGTTGTTAGTAAACTTGATCGACTTCATAAGTCGCGAGGGAAGGGATTGATTGCTGTACCCTTCTCGCGATTAAAATATCTCGGGCAGGAACCGCAGGAGGGGGTCCAACCCCCCCCTCCTATGTGACCCCTGTTGGGTCGTCTAGCTGGTAGAAGTGGAGGATAGGGGCCAGAGGGGCAGACGACAGTGTCCAATGATGGGAGAAAAAAAAAATCCTAACAACATGAAGACTGCCCAATCCTCGCTCTAGACTACATACATTACGTCCGGAAATACGATGTGACACAGCACAGCAGTACGTCCCAGATTGCTCCCAAGCTGCAACATTCCTCGAAACACAAGAAATCTGTGCCTCCCTTCTCTCACTTTGATGGCGGCAAGTTCGTTTGGTGGTGTGCGACGGTAGCGGAAGGAGGAGTGAGTGAGTGGTGACTCTCGTCAGCCTGAGATGTGGAAGGGTCGATAACATGTATTTTGAACTTTGATGAACCAAGCAAGAGGCCACGCGGATGAAATAAATGTTGTTCCCTTCTGCTTATCCCCCACAGGCACGGCGCCGGAAACTCCCGAAGTCGCACAAAGGTCGCACACAGACAGCACTCATCCATTTCTACAATGAGGGCGGTATTGACCCTCCTTTGCATGGCGGTGGCGGTGGTTGGGAAGAAGCAGGAGGAGGCATTGAACAAGGACACAACACCATTCTGGCTTCGCGACCAGCTCGACGGTAAATGGGTTGTTTTTTTCGATTCCACACTGCTCTCGTTGACGATGCCGGTGCAGCTTTGCAGTAGCAGCGGCTCCAATATCAGCAATTCGCACGGCCTATGCATATGCATGGAGACAACTCTGGCGTGGATCGTAGGAGGAGAACCGCACCAGCGTCAGGATACGCCACAGTTCCTTGGTTGATTTTTAGTCGAAGTGGATGCTGTGTGCCACAGCACTGGCTGTATTGTTCATGTGTGACTCCTGTTGGCAAACCGTATCGTATGATATCCTCCATGATGAGCTCTTGTAGAGCTGCTTCCGAATGGAGCCATGCATGTTAGACCTACATTCAGCACATCAGCAGTGCAGTCCACGGAAGGCAATGCCAAGACATTCATAGATATGCCAAGCCATTCATATCTTCTGCGGTTGGCATCACCCACTCCTCGAGTGCAGTCCTGTTGTCTACTTGAGAGCGGGTCCGCCGTTTTTGGATTAGGCAGCCGCAGCCGTGTGGATAATTTTTAAGTGCAACAGCAGTGGATGTGATCGAGGGGACGATTCTGTCTCATCACTATAGCAGTACACGATATTATTTCCCTGATGCCCTTCCAGAATACTCTCCAAGTCTCCCCCCTCTTCCGTGATATGTTGGCGGCATCTGGCTCTCGATACGAGTAGCACACACGACGCCTTGAACCATTGGATCCGCAGTTCCACGCGCCTCCTCCACGTGGATTCATTGCTGTGGCTCGGAGATTTACTGTGGTGCCAAGTGTAGGTCGTTATGACCGTCAGCGGTTACTGAAAATACCTCATCCCCAAGCTACATGTGCGAGCGCTGTGTTGCTAGCGGTTGATCTCCATTGTGCGTTGGCACACCTCGCGGTTAGCATCTAGGTTACCGCAAGATATCACACCCCCTGGACCGATTTTCAAAGCTCGATTGCTCCGCAGATGAGAGCGGCGGTACCGTCAAAGGCGGCATTGGAACCGTCTCTGGTCGTGGAGTGATGGAGGTTTCGAAATTGGTCCAGGGGGTCCGATATCTTCCGTCACCGACGGTAGTCTTTGCAGCACTACCACCTTCGCTCGCCGTGTCTTGCACAATAAGCGCCCTCTACGGTGTTTCCTGTGGTCTACTGACAACTGACGAGCTTGACCACAACCGTTGTGTGGTTGTTTTTCCTGCCATGGGGACTCCTGCCCACGTGACCCCTCTGCAGTTTTTTTCGCAGACCACGTCAATGCCCCGACATTAAACAAAAGTCAGGACGTGCACCAAGAAGATGCAACAGTTTCACTTTTGTTTCTCGAGAAAAGCAGCGGTTAAACCAATTAAGCTGTTACGTTGTTTGCAGCCGTCCCATCCCCGCGTTCACCCCCATGTCTTTCGTTGGCGACTGCAACAGGACACACTTTTTCGGACACCCGTTCAAACGCACACATGCACCCTATCCCTCCAGTCTCCTCCGCGGCGCCGCTGCCGAGGGGGGCCCCGTGACTAGAAATCGTGTTCGCTTGTTACCTCTCCGAATGCATAAGGCGGGCGCACTTCGTTGGTTCGCCACTCGGCCCCGTCGATGCTAATTCCTGAAAGACACAAGCGTCTTGACCGCGCCACCGCTCGCGCGTTCGGGCGCCGTCCAACATTTATGATTTTCTTTCCAGGAATGTGCTTGGGGCCAGACGGCTTCGGTGCGTGCGACGCCAGCAACTTGTGGATATTGGCCTTGAAGCACCCCAAGAAGCTGACCCAGGCGTTCGTGAGCATGCTTGCGCCGGAGCCGGAACGCATGTGCCTTGGCAGCAGCTCCGGCGGGATGTTTTCTTCGCGACGACGGGTTGGGGTTTCCAAGTGAGCTGGGCGGGTTCGTGTGTAACTGTTGTTGTATTTTGTTTAGAAACTCGACATGCAATCACGGAATTGACTTTTATTTCTTCTTGGCTTGAGTCGTTGCCGAGGGGGGGGGGGGGGGGC